ATTTTGCAGAACCAGTGGGCCTTGTCGCCGAAAGCTGCGCAACTTCCTAGGGGAATACCAATTTTCTGTCTTCGACTGACTCTAGCTGCAACTTAAGTTTATGTATTTCGCGTGTTATTTAAAGTATACAAGTTGTGTGAATTATTGGCGCTATTGACTGCATTATTTATGTATAATTTATTTTTATTTGGCTCTGGAAGGCGGTCCCTTGCTATCTCTCATGGTATGTGTATTTCCAACCGTTGGGGCACGAACGAATATCCCCACTACGGTGACAGTATGCAAGTGTGAAAATACAAGTGTGTATGAAAGATCTTTCATTAGTGTAATATATATTAAGGTAGTTACATTTTCGAAATAAAATAATTTTATGGGTGTAAAACGTGTCCAACAGCCTCGGGTTCCATTCCCTGTGAGGCAATATTATAGTGTGCATTTTTCTTGCATTGTCCCAGAATATGTTGCTGCGTGACGATGAGAAAATTCACTTCTCGGGTTGAGAAGGCTGGAACACGGCGTGGGGATGTCTATGTGCTAACCACGCGTACCTCCGTAAATAATGGCCGCGAGGCAGGAACGTCGCCGGTAGGCGTGAGCCCGTTCACTGGCTGTGTCGCCAAGTACATTCATACAATATGTGTTCAAACAGTAATGCTTGTTACAAAGTGCTGGAGTAATGTTTGAAGTGAGATTTTTATGAAACTTAGTTTTAGTTCGTGAATTACTTAGGTTTTTAATATAAATTAGTTTTCTGAATTTTGGGAATGAAATTTCCGCCATTCGAGGGCACGGCAATCTCCAGTTTGTAGTGGCCCCAGCCGCCGCAGAGCTGTTGCCAAGTCTCGTCCCAGTCCGTTGCCGAGAGAACCGCCGGGTAACGTCTCCGCGTCCGCGCTCCTGCGTCACCACCTGGCGGCCAGAATTAGGAAGGACTTAGGATAGGGGTAGGGTTTAGGATACTTCACAGGGGACTAGCCCCTTGAGGCTGGTCAAATGAGATTGTCCGGTAATCGAACCCGAACCGCCTTGGTAAAAGGCAACCCACTAAGTTCTACGACACGAGCGTCCTTCAAAATTGTATTCATAAAGTATTATTGCGGCAGTAAACAGTAACAATGGTATCCCCAAATTCAAGGAATCCAATTTTCAACTTTTACAAAGAAAAACTAGTGTCGTATTGAAGGGAAGAAGATATGCTTTCACATAATTGGAAAGGTTCGAGACGAACTAATTTAGCTCTAAACTAGCGCTCTCTCCCATTGTGGGATTCGTCGAGACCATCGAGCACATAACTTTCGGTTTATTCCATGGTGGAAGGGTGGGTGACGTCTTGCGAATCGTATCTGACTTTATCCAATGAGCTTCCGGTGCCAGTTTGCGTCACTTCAGCGGGAACTTTAATTGGCCAAATTATTACCTTGTTACTTGCTATTAAAACAGATATATGAAGCACTTAAAAATAGAATATTGCATTGTTAATTTTCATTATTATTCGTCGTGTTACGTTTTTGATTGGTCACCGTTGAAAATTGTCACTTGATGCCACTTCCAAAATGTTTTCAACATGGCTGCCAGAGTCTTGTCTGGCTTTTCTAACGAAGTGCCCGTGTTGTGGTCATGTGGTTCGTGACGCAAACTGGTGCAACGCAAAACGAGCAAATATCGGTACATTGCAGGAACCCACCCATCCTTTTTCATCATGGTCCGTACAGAACAGTAGAAAAGCGCCACATTAAACGTCACTGTGGCCATAAGAGGTCGAACTTCAAACTCGATCTTGGACGCGCCTAAAAGCAGTGGCGTGGTATCTTGCATTGTTGCACACTTAATACTTTTAACGGGCAGTCTCGCAGCTCGTATTTCAGGATTATTGCCTCGCCAGTTGATTCAATTGCTCTGACATCGTAACTGGAGCTTCGCGCTGCCGCGATTAGAAAAGAGAAGCCCAGGAAAAATATATATCTCGTCGTTGGGAAAAAATATTAAATTCTTTAGAGTTTGCGATTGAGAGAAATCAGAGAGTTCTTTCCACATTGTCAAATTGCAGCATTTAAATATCTAAAAAAAAAAAAAAAAAAAAAAAAAAAAAAAAAAAAAAAAAAAAAGTTTCCACCCTCTCCCCGGGCCATTTTTATGGTCCGAAATGTGGACGTGCCCGGGTGAAAGAGGACGTCTGATGACCATAGTATTATTAGTGAACAATCAATCTACAATTGTGAAAGAGCAATGAACGGTTTTGTGGACATTACACTATTCTTGTTATTATGAATAAGTGTTTTTATATTTAGCGTTTCTAAATTTGATTCTCTTTAACAAACTTTCTTTTCTAGGGATTTTTACTAATTGTATTTGACTCTGGTTATTAGTTGTAAGATTCCAAGCCCAATGAAGAGAGGCTGGCAGGGATCACGCGGATGACATTTTTTCATTAATCCAATAATTTTATTTTGCCTTCTAAAGGTCTGAGTACCACATGATGAGTTTCCCCAGGATTTAATGCCTTATCTCGGGCGAGAATGCACATTTGCAAAATACACGCAACAAGTTGCATGAAGGCTGACAGAATTTGAAAGAATTCTGAATGCGTAACATAATGAACTTAATTTAATGTGTAATTCTTGTATATGTAGATTTGACTGATTTGAGAGGTCTGGAAATTTTGTTACCTTAACTTCATCTAATTACACATTGTTAATTTCAATGGAGCATGTGATTGATTTGAAATGCAAAAATGCATTGAAAGTAGTTTTCCTTCGTTAACTATTAATTTGTTATTACGAAACCCATTTGAAATTTCTGAAATCGTACTATTTATTGTTTCGTTTTTGCAAAGAACATTCGTGTCATCTGCAAACAGAACCATTCTTCCGTTTTTAATAGACTAGGGCTTATCGCAAACATAACAAAGTGGATAGGACCTAAGATCGAGCCTTGTGGGACCCCATTTTCAATTGGTAAACAATTGGAAAGTATATAATTTCCTTTTGTGCCAATACGGTATTTCTACTCTTTGAGATCGATGTTTAGGGTACGAGGTTATCCAATCTAGGGCGATACCACAAATTCCATATGAAGGTAAGCAAGTTGGATAGCGAGATGTTACGCTCTATAACGTCAAAAGCTTTCGAAAGATCTAAAAATATTCCTTTGGGTGCTTAATTTTCGTCCATTGATGAAGCAACATCTTTAAGAAAAGAAAAAATGGCAGTTTCCGTAGATTTTAATTTTCCAAAAACGTGTTGTCTTCGTTTTTTCTGAAGAAAGTTTCCATTCGCGTATAAAAAAGCCTCTTTAATATATTGAGAAAACTGACAAAAGAGAAATTTGCCGGTAATTTTGAATTTCATTTTTGTTCCCTTTTATATTATAATATCGCAATTTCTATCCATATTAACACACCTCGGGCATCATTTGCAAAACTCATTACAAATCGATGAACAAACGCTCGTTTCCATCTTTATTCAGAATTTAACTTGTACAGAGATTCCCAGAATTTAAGTAAACCGAACATAACGTGAACCGAATGCATTTTTTCCATTGTTGCATAATACGTTAAAGACTGTTTTAAAACTTTTTGGCAAGAAATAAATAAAACGTAATGTCTCGTAAACGTTCCTTCCATGTCGACCCACCAACAATGAGAAGATTTCATCATTTCAATTTAACAGCTCGTCAAATAAAGCTTGGGAAATTCGAAATTGCATTTTTTTAAATTAAAAAATTACGCTAAACTACTTATATTTTCAAACAGTGAACATGACCTAATTTTCGAGAATATATTTTTATTTAATAAAAAATATCTTATCATTACTTTTACCGTGTTAATTTTTTGCCTGCAAGTTTTGATTGCACAGTGGGCAGAGAAATTGGAACCAGCCTCACTTTCGTTACCTTTCTTTTCTATCTACGGTGGAAAATACTTTATAAAAATTGGAGCCGTTTTTAAGAAAATGATGATTTAAATTGTTTCGAAATTGTCAATGTTTCACGTAAAAACTACATATTTTCGAAAAAGTTGAACATGACCTTATTTGAAGATGTTTATGATGAACAAATTTTATTTAAAAAAAACTGTCTACCTTAATTTTTGTAATTGTAGGAATATGCATACAAAATTTTCAACTTGGTAATTTTGGAAAATTCATGGTGTTTAACAAAATTACGACCTAAGATGTTTCTTTAAACGACTTATGGATTACCTTAGAAAAAATGCGACGGAAAAGATTTAGAACCATTTTTGAGAAAATTTTGAAAATGGAGGGTTCATGTAGCCTACTTTCAAAAATCAAAATGTTCAAGTAGTTGCGACATCAGTGAAATCGATCAGGGAACGCCTGTTTTGGTGAAAATCCTGCTTACTGGTTAGTCCATAGCGTTGTTCACAGACCGGCCAACTGACTGACGGAAGAACTGTCCGACGGACCAACGAACAGACAGACAGAATCCCTCAATCATCAGGAATGATTGCTGTTGCCTTAAAACCTCAATTTCGCTGAATGTCTTTCAGCTGTTATTTTGTCACCATGTCTGGCGGTTTTGTTGCTTGAATGTAGGCTTCCAATGCTGCCAACGGGGAAGAAACAAATGAGTGGTGTTGCTCAAGCTTGTTATTCTTTGGGTAAAATTTCGTATGAAATTGAATTGATTTACCCATCTCGTAATTTACATTCTGCCTGCTGTTTGGGAAAGTTTGGAGAATTCCACTTTTTACATTTTGCCTCGTTCAACTAAATCAGAATTTGAAGTCCTGAGTAATATTGATCTCGAACGCTATATGCGGATAGATGTACACAATTTGTGGTTATCTTTTATATTCTTCGAGGTTTAATATTATTGAAGTTTTGTATGTATCTTTGTTTTAAGTGGTTTTGAAAACTAGGAACAGGTATATATTGTTCAAATTGATGTTGGTACAGACCACATGGTGTCATGGCGTGTAACACGTAGGAAGTACTAGAGGAGAAAGTGCAAGTTATTAGATTGAGCGTTTTCTGTTTTAGGGTCCACCCTGAAAATACTGTTGAGCAGAAGGCTATTCCAGTTGAGGTAAATATTCTGAAAAAATATTTTAATTCCTATAATCGTCTATTTATTACGCCCTGTCGCTGAGGCCGTAAACCGCTTGTGTGGTTTGCAGAGCAAACTCGAAATATAAAGGAGTTATCAAGAGTTATTTCTTTTTTTTAAATTCATTTATTTGTGTTATCAAACACCAGATGAATTTTAAAATCCTGTTTTAACAAGTTTCTGATAAAAAAGTTGCTTGTTTTCGTTATAGTGTTGTAACATCAAGCATGATCATTTAGCATTCACTAACTGTATGTATGTTGTATTTTAGCTAGAGAGTGGCTTACTTTGTTTGGAAATGCATTGAATTTTGTCATGAGTAAGACTTTTGAAATTTTTTGTTAATATAACATTTTTATTAATGATCTAAGTAAAATTGTGCATGATTTTCATTGGTGTTGGTTGCACATTAACCTATTGTGAAAGTGGATACTCTCTCATAACCGGTTGGTTGGAAAGGCAAGTAGACATGAGGGTGAAGCATGAGCTACATTATTATTATTATTATTATTATTATTATTATTATTATTATTCAATAGAATTAATTTATATATTCATTAAAATTTATCCAAAGACTTCTAATTTAATGGAGAATTTATGTTGTTTGCCCTGCCAATTTATTCTCTTAAACAATCTCATAATTTTATGTTGAATTCTTGTGCTTCTACCTTTATTGGATTGGTTCGACATTGTGGAAAATTTGCCCTTGATGGAAGTTTATCAGTTATTGTAGGTATGTATTGTAAATAATGGTTCACAATGTTCACTTTTTCGTGGGAAAGATATTGAAACCATGTATTACATTTTGATTTTGTTGACAAATTCAACAAAATATATTCAACTTTCATTTAGCTGATATGTCTTAAATAAAAAAAGTTTGAAAACATTTCTCTCTTACACCCTTTTTCATTAATCAAATTGAGAGGTAGTTATTAAGGTAGGTAAACTAACTTTACTGTAGAATGGCCACTTTGCATATAGACTAGTAAAGGTAATCTGAGGAAACCTGGATTTTCAAAATTGAAAATTCAAGTACATTTAAATTGCAAAACGGTATTACAATCAAGGTGACTTTCTGGTTCAAATCAATGCCAAGGCTTGAACCTTCAATCTCCGTATCACAAAACAAATTTCAGTCTTTTCAACACAAAACTACCAGAATAATGAGTGGTCACGCTAAAGTAAAAGCTCAGCTGTGAGTTGAAATAAGTTTTGGCACTAAATTGGAAGGTAATTCACTTGTATATTGTTTTTCTTATATATAAAAATAAAGCATTCGTGTTCGTTTGTTTTAGTTTCCAAGTAGTGGTTTTCTTAAATTGAAGTGTGTGTTCATGATGAAAGTACACTATGCAAGTGATTGCTTCCCATGTGCTTGTAAGAGAGCATTGTTATGTTCTACAGTAATTTCTTATGAACATATTGTGAGCATTTTGTGCTGTTTTGTGTTGTAGCGACCAAAGTATGTGGCTGGCATGCTTGCTTTATGTCATAACTGTGGGTACACCTCCGTAGACTTCAATCAGTGCCAGAGGTGTAGGAGGAAACTACCTGAAGCAGTGAAATCAATTCCTGTAACTGATACGCCAAAGAAGAAAGCCACACCTACAAAAGAAGTATTGTGTCAATGCCTTTTTGACTTGAATATTTATGCTTGTGTAGCTTTTATGATGGTGATGCATGTTCCCCATGCTTGATGAACAGTTTAGACCTTCTGTGTAGTAAGAGGCATTTTCAAACGTTGGTGTAGCTGATTAGTACTATTCTGATTTGCATGCACAGATATTTGAACCTCTATGTAAGCAGTATTTATTTGATTTTTAGTAAATTATCGTACTACTGTAGATTCTCTTAAAGTGGCACATTTTGTGTGTTAATAAATATTTTTAGTGCCATAAATGTGAGGTCATTCAGTAAGAACAGTGGGAAAACAAAGTTAATATCGTTAAAAATGAAGTAGAGATTTGTTGTGTTGTCTCCATATTATGAAAGAAACAAGAGGGAAATAATAAAAGTAATAACAATAGGTAATGGTAATAGTTTGTTAAAAATTAATTTGCAGTGTATTTTCAGAAAACACCCCTAACTTTTTTGAGAAGTAATTGTATTAGACCTTGTTGGTTTGGTTGTTTCTTCTTTCTTTAGTGTGTTATTTAATTTCTTTCCATATGTTGTGGGTTGTTTCACGTGCGTACATACATTTTTTGAATGTGACATTGATGAAAATAATTTAAGTGGGATTCCCCCTTCTACGTTACCCATATTAAATTCTTAATATTGTCAACCGATTATCTCAGAAATGATTGGAGATGCCAATTTGAAATTTTTACTGATCATTATATTCTATTGTTTTACTGATGGAAAATAATTGCTTGGCAGGAACATAATTTTTGTTTTCTCTGCCCTCCATTTTTTCAAAAATTTAAAGACAAATTTATTTGTAAATTTGATACAAATAATGCTAACTGTGCAAAAGTAGATCCACAGCTTCACATCGTCAAATAGAGAAAATTGAAAAGGAATAACTAAAACGGTTCAATTGATAAGTTTATGAGAATATACATTTATAATGAAAAACTGTTTTATGAAAAAAAACATTCTCATTGTTTTTACTAGGAATTGCCTATCATATTTGTTGTATTTTATTTAAAAACAACATGCTCCATATTGTGAATTATGCTCTTTATTGCGGATATCTAGAACCTATTTCCTCTACTCTTTCTGACTTTTTGTTAATTTTCTCAGCTGAGATTTCTGCTTTGGGGAGAGGGGAACGCTTCTGGTGTTGACATTTTCAATACTAAATGTATTTTCCGCTTTATACACATTGTTAATCTCAATATTCTTGTTAATTGAATATATTTCTTTTGTTCATAGGCTTTTTAAAACACTTAATTTGTGTTCAACTAGTTAACATTTCTTTCACACTTCATGCTCTCTTGCTTTACCCCAGGAGAAAGAAAATAACCCTTAACTTTAAAAACAAAAAGGGATCGCATGCCTACAAAATTGCACAGACAAAAGTGTAAACAAAGATTAAGCTATCACAGCCTTCTAGAGCTGCTAATGCACATTCCAAATGTAATAAAATAAACAAAAACCAACAATTTTTCGATAAATTTATCAAAATGTTCAGAATAATGTGTGTATTATTTTAAGATTAAAAAACCAAATTCAGTATTTTTCCTATTTCTCTGGTGGAATCTCGCTTTTGTGTTTTGCTGGCAGGTGCCCCAGTAATGAGCAGCAGTAAAGCTAGCAATTGCTGCATACCCAATGGCTATACAATTAAGTGCCAAACCCCTCATAACATAACCTTTCACAAGAAAAAAGAAACTTAATTTTCTTGAATCATACAGATTAAAATTCTGTGAATAATACCTGCCCTGAATTGGTAGAGTGCTCTTTTTTTGGGGGGGGGGGACTCTGCTCTTCATAAATTAATTAGCTTATATCACTTAATAATTGTTGGTGATAGATAACACACATCAGTGAATTTTTTTAATATATTCATGGAAATTAGTAAATGTATGTTAATTAGTTAAAGAAAAAAGGAACAGACTTCATTTTGACAAATATACTATTTATTGTGATTTCTCAATAGTCAAGTGTGCTCCCTGCAAATGTACATGTGCTCCACTAGCGAGTGTTTTTATTGATACTGGCAGGATGCAAATAACACTACATATTAAAAAGTAGATTTTTTAGTGCTCATTGATTAACATTGCTGTATGTTGAAACATTTTACATATTAATTAATTTTTCAATAATTTTGAAGCTGACAATGACTTGAAATCATATTTCTTATGTGCCCTGTTTTAAAAACTTGTGAAGTTTCACTTGAGTTGAATTTGAAAATTTGTAGAGAAAGTTATGTGATGCTACGGATAATCAATTTCTAGATTTCAACGGAAATACACATTTTTGAGTTCTCTAATTCCAATCTGTCTCTCTGAATACAACTAGCATCTACATCATGTTCCCATGTCAATCTGGCTCGACTCAATAACATTGTTTATAGTTTGAGGGTACTTTACATGAAGCCCCTGACTCATTTTCAAAATTATTGCAAAAATAGCTCCATATTTTCTCTTAAAAATTTATTAAGATGAGATATGCCAGATTTTCACTTGTAACTAAAAGAAATTTCAAAACTTCGAATTTTTTTTTCTTATTCCTATTACAAAATTGAAGATAGTTTTCCTTCAAGTAAAATCTTCTCTCCTTATTGCTTTCTTTCATTATGGTCATGTACATCTTTTTGAAGATGTTAGCAGTTTTAGCGCAATATAAAATATAATAAAATTGGCTCCAAATTTTTAAATAATATTTTTCGAAAACGGCTCCAATTTTTTTCTTTAAACTTTTGGAAAGGAGAGCGCTGACTGTGTTGCATGTGATAATGTGAACACAATTTTGTTCTGTTCTTTTGGCATTTTCAAAAATTACAAAATGTAATAATTTTGATTTGTTTCTTACATCCTTAATATTTGCATTAGTAGAGATTTCTATACAGAATTGCATTTAAAAATGCGCTTCAAGTGATGTCTTTTAAAATTTCTCAAGAACTCCATATTTTCAGACACACTCCAGAACACCATTTTCTCAAAAATGGCTCTAAATTTTTGGACGCTTCTGCGAAAATGGTACCTGGTGTCCCTCTAGGCAATGAAGTACTAACAAAGACTTTAAGAGTAGTGGAGGATGACTCCAAGAGCGCTCAATGCCCAATAAGGGTTGGGAGACGGGTTGCGCCGTGAGGAAAATGCAAGAAATGTAAATGATGTCAAGACACAATGTGGGTTCGTAGCTCAGCAAGTGCGAATCTGCGTTTTACAAGAGACTGAAATGAAAAGGAAGAAGAGAAAAGAGAAGAAAGAAAAGAAAAGAAGGGGAATAAAGACAGATAAATGCATTCTAGACCCAACAACTGAAGAGGATAAAAATCTCTCTTCTTCGCAAAAATTTCCCAAACTTAGGGATTTGCCACTCTCTCAGTTTACTCACGAAATGGTGAGTCAGAAATGTAACAGTTCACGACATGATCATGAACGTTAAGCAATCCTAATTTCAAGTATATTCTGAAAAAGAACATTTATTTATTTATTTACTTAAAAAACAGTTAAAAACTGTGAACTCATTTGAAGTTACATTTATATCCAGATGCAAAACAAGGAGCCATCTCAGCATTTGCTTCAGGATCAGGGAAACCAGACGAAGAGCTGAACAAGATAGGGGTCATTGACCCAGAAGCTGAAGAACTATACTTTAACTACAACGTTAAACAGAGTCCATTTACAAGTGCGGGTCAGAAAATTCAGTGACACAGGTGTCAAATGAAAGACAAAGAACAACACAAAATCAATGCGCACAACTTTGAGCCTTCTAACTTTCAGAGGGGCTTAAAAAGTCAGATGGCTTCGTAGCATTGGAGGACCAAAACGAAACATTGAAATGTGTGAAGATTATGGAAGTGACAAAAACTATTATTATGACAATTTTAAGGAGAAAATGCAATGTCTTAACATTTTCATCAACTGGGCATTTTTCTAACCAATTAGACAATTTGCAAATTTATTTTGATTAAGTAGCCAGAATTATTTGAAAACTTAAAACTTCTTAAGTGGTTAAGGAGTTCTTATATTCGGGTAAATGCAGTAATTTATTTGTGTATAGGTATGGATACTTACATACAAAATAATATAATGCAGATGTATAGTATGTGAATTGATATCCTTAATAGTATGATCTATATAGATAAATAAGTCCATTTCGATTCATTGAAAAGCGTTTCCTCTTTAACAATTTTTAGTGTTGTCTTTAATCTATTTTTTTAGCTTGAATTTTTATGGATCTTGTTTGTCAAGGTTTTCAAATTCATTGGTAGTTGTTTATAAAGCTTTATTGCTAGCAGTTTTACAGCTACTTTCATGATGTGAAGTTTTCAATATTTTTAATATCTGTATTCTTTTGTTTGTATGCATACTTTGAGAGTTAATAAATTAATTTTTGAGTTTTAAATTATGGTACAAAAATGGCTCAAGCTTAATTATTTGTTCTAAACTAATTGGATAATATTCATTGCTTCACTTGTTTCTGTTTATATTTTTTAAATAATTTGTTCTTTAGTTGTAATAAAGATTGATTTTATAGGCACCACCTCACCCATTTATGCTATAATTTAGTAAACTAGGATGAAATGCATATTAAATAAGCATTAATGTTTGAGATAACATAGTTTTCACAATTTTATTAAAAAAACATTTAGGTCTAGATAGTTTTTAGGCCTCATTTTCTTTCTACTGCATGTAAACAAAATGCCCTCAATTCAAAATGGAAAAACAGATGTCTTTGTGAATGTTATGAATATTTTTTTGCAAAAAAGAAATAATAATAATAATATTTATTGAGTCACATGTACAATTACAATTGTGTATGATGAGTCAATATAATGCCTTGGGTGAAGAGAGCAAAGTTATATTACTGTTCAGGAGCAAACAAGGGGCCATCTCAGCATTTAATCAAAGGACCAGGGAAACTGAACAAAACCTGATCAAGATGGAATCATTGGCCTAGAAATACAACACTTGTCACAGTGAGATTAAGTTATTATACAGTAGATAAATTATCTGCTAATAATTAACACAGAAATGGTAAGGGGTGCAATATCAGA